CGAAAACTATTCTCAAAAAGTTCCAGCCAAATTTGAAATATTTCACAAACACTACGCGTCTACAGTTTTGAAATGGACTGTAGATTCTTGTTGCAGCAGGAAATGTGCAGTGAATAAGACAGTGTACTTTGAAGTACTCTATGCATACAATGACAGTGGATACTCCATCTTCAGACAGTTAGATCATACCACCAGTAGATAAAAAAAATGTTTTGACCTTGTTAGGTCTTATCAGGCGAACTCAGAGTGACTTGTCGAGCCGATCACAACGAACTCTAGTGAACAACGGAGAGCATAGTACATGCATGTGGCTGTGGCCAACGGAATGAAGAAAAGAGACTTACGTCCTTGGGCAAATACCGCAGCGCTAACATGCCCATGAAGATCTGTTCCGAGAGAACACTGCAGCAAAAATAATAGTAATAATAATAGAAGATATGAGCATAACACCGACACGACAAACACTATTGTGACGGGCACGTGGCAGTACCTTTGCTTTCCACTTGCACAACACACAGCAACACACACGGCAGCATAAACTCTACACAAGCGTAGATTAATACGTATAGTACCGTTCCGCTAACATTTTCCTTTTCAACTCTACACAAGCGTAGATTAATACGTATAGTACCATTCCGCTAACATTTTCCTTTTCAAGTCGGTGAACAGCAGTCAGTGAAAGACTAGATTCGACAGGAACACGGTGAGCCAAACATTGGTTGATCCACCGCCGCCGCCATCACCACCACTAACCTACTAAGTGCAATGCACTGAGTCAAGACACGAGGGCACAGCACCATGGTGTAATGCTTGCATCGCTTACCGTTGATAAGCAGCCACCGTGGGTGGACAACTGGAACTGCTCTCGGACGATGGCTCGTCAAAGAAGCTACCGCTGGCAGTTGTTGCCACGCTGGGTGAAGGAAGGAACGCAAATGCCAGACATAGGAAAGAAAGACAACGACACAATTGTGTCCTGTTTCATCTCTGCGCATACACATACATATATGCACACACACACACAATAGCGAAATTTCCCAAATTACACACATACGAGTATTGTACACATACACCAACGCCCACAGTACGTCATACTGATACAAATCATGAGCAGCACACCTCCTGGTACACTCCAGTGCTATCCTGAACAGAAAGCTCCAACATGAGCCAAGCACACAGCAATAAGAGATCAAGCTCAACACTGATACTCATAATTCTACTTGTACACCCTATGTCATGCACAAACACATAGACATTAGACACACAGGCAGACACTGAGACAGACACGCATGCAAACGCAGACACACAGAGGCACAGAGCCACAGAGCCACAGAGCCACAGCAGTACATGCAGTTACTAGTGAGTACATGTTGTTAGTTGGACAGCGCTATAACAAGGTTGATCTAATACTAGTATTGAGCTAGTATTGAGCTAGTATTGGGTTATATAATACCATAGTGAGTACATGTACCTGTAGGCAGATAAAGCATCTCCCATCTGCGGTGCCAGCATCTGGTTGTTTGACAAGTGCATAAATGTAGTTTTGCTCCTCTTTCGTGCACAGCTGTACATCTGCAATCCAACATAAACATGACATAATTTCATAACAATACATTGTATTGTTGCCAGTACAGTACAAACTGGCCAAAGACACCGCCCCCTGGTACGAGAAAAAGCGGTCATTAAAGCCAGATGGTCTTTAGAACAAGATCCCATACATTCGCAACATGCCGGATTGTGCACATACATGTACTTCCATGCACTCATATTATGACAGGTGTTGGGCATACAACACTTTCAGACAGACGTAGCACACATGCGTTCTCACACCTCACTCAAGTGCATGCACCGCACCACACCGCACCCTGCACTGTCTGCACTGTCACTTCCGTTGGCGGCATGCACTCACTTCTGAACGCACTTCAACCCATGTTGCAGTCAAGTCTGCCATCCAGGACAGCACTTGTGGTCACTGTACGCAGGTCAGATAGGGCACTCGGCACACTAAAAGTCGGCCGCTGGTCGCGCAATGCAGGTGGCCGCTGTTTCCGGTGCAGTTTCTATGCAGAACTGCCAGTCCAGGTGTCCATGTTCAAGTTCTACTACTGTCGTGGACATGGAAATCTAGTTGAATGACCGGGGCCGGCGCCCTCAGTGCGTCCAGAACGTTGCATGCAGTGCACATGTTGATCCGATACGACCAACGCGCTGCAGCGCATACATGAATGTGTGAACCGTATGCTTACTCACGGCTGCATGGCAACCACCCCGGGGCCGCTAGACGTGCGGCCGCATTTCCATGTCCACGACAGTACAATGTATAGTGTATGATACTACTCACTATGTGAGCACTGTGGCCTGTGCGTACTGTAGGTCAAACTCACCTGCTTGGGCAAGGGACGATAGGAGAACGCCACGCAATGGCTTTGAGAAGAGTGGCAGGCATTGAAATCCTGGATGCTCTTCCTGTAGCAGGGCAGAGGATACACACATAGAGGTTGAATACACATGAACACGAGCATGCACAGATGACCACATGTAGGAAAGTACTGACGAGGAAACTAACCTCTGCACGTACATGTACAGTCATGTACTGTGATACTGAGTTTGAAACGGCCTGATTGTATCCACTTGTAAAGCAAGGTAGAAGAATGCTGGCATAGGCATAGGCTTGACTGCATGTACATGTACTTCAAGTACATGATAGTACTATTCATACACAATGTGTGCAAGTACATTCTTCTGAATGCACACACTCCAAACACCTCGGCTCAGCTGCACTACTATCATCAGCAAGAGAACAAAGTCCACTCATACAGGCGCGTAGCCAGCATGGGGCACGTGCACCCCCCTCCCCAAAATTTCGACCTAGGTTCAGCATGCACATGATGATCATGAATGACATGCGCCTGCCATCCTACACATATGCGGCTGTGCAACCCCCCCCCCCCCCCTAAAAGGGGGACCAGCTATACGCCCCTGACTCATAGGACATGTTTTGAGTCCACTGACCTTTGTTCAGCATTGAGGGGACAGATGTCCGTGCCCGTGAAGTAGTCTGTGCACGCCTCCAGTACCAGATCACCAGAGCCTTCGGTCATCAGTTGTAGAGTGTCTGCAGCAACATGGGCATATGCAATATTGCACAGTACAGTCACGCACACATCTATCACACCACTTGAACATGCATAGAAAAGAATGGGGATAGACAAGCAGGCAGATAGAAAGGGAGAGGGAGAGAAAGATGGATAAATGGAAAGATAGTACACAACAGAAAAAGAGAGTCTAAAGCTGAGTTGTGTTGGGTGATGGTCAGTACTTTCATCGAGCGCGCCAGTGTTGCAAACTGATCGGACTTACTTCCTGTGGCCACCAGGGTGCTGGAAAGATGCTGCGTAGGTGGTGTTAGTGTTGAAGACAAGACAGAGGCACTGCGGAACATAGCTGTTGGAGCTGTGGGCAGAGATGGTGCTTCCTACATATACACAGTGTCATACAAACACGAGAAAAGAATTCAAATCATGAGCAGACCAACAGTGGAAAAAAACTATCTCTTCGATAGACAATACAATAGACTCCCCTCCATCCGGACTCCCGGACGTAGAAGTGTACAGCGACTTTCCAGCAAACGCAACACTACAGTATAAGCTGCATGTGGTCCTCCTTTCGGCATCACTCCAGTGCAAGCAGGCATACAATAGACCAGCCAGGTACACAAGGAAATGGCGAGGTGATGCCAGCACATTTCTCGCTGAACTGAACATGATACACTTTTCTAAGCACTCGCAGACTCCATTGCAGCCACTCACACATTACAGGGTACCTCACTTCAAACTCTCCAACTACGGTTTCTTCGCTGCATAAGTTCACTTCACTTCCAAAAAAAAAAATAATAATAATATTAGATATAAATGGAATGCACCAAATTTTCGGGCATGGCCCATCTTCAGGGTGAAAAACCATTCAACTAAAGCCAACAAAAACTGAAACGAGTATATATGCTGTGTGGTGCGGTAGTGCTGGACATTTTTGTATGTATGAAGGGTAGCAGCAATGGTGAAGTGTGTTGGTAGAAAGGGAAGGAGCGAAGTGTGAATATGATATGTGTTAGTGCGACGTGAAGGGAAAGCACGAGAAGTGTGGTTACCAGCAGCAATGGTGAAGTGTGTTGGTAGAATGGGAAGGAGCGAAGGAGACAAGTGGAGAGCTGTGTCTGTACGTGTGAATATGTGTTAGTGACATGGAGAATAGAATGCAAAGTATGCAATGTAGCTGGGTCCATGGGTGTGAAGACAAAGATGACGACAAATATTTCCTAAGCACTATATATAACCAGCTAGCACACATACCCTATATTCTCTATTATAAGCGTCGTGCTTCTATTTTTTCAACACCCCTCTACCCCGTGCTTATATTGGAGACCGCGCTTATATTGGAGACCGTGCTTATATTTTTCAACCAATATATCCATACAGAGCAAGAAGAAATACATGCTAGATATCATGCATGCAGCATTGATTTCCACCAAGACCGTGCTAATGATAGAGACTGTGCTTGTAATGTTTCGAAAGGTGCTCACAGTGTGCTAGTATTAGAGACTGTGCTAGTAATGGAGACCTGTGCTTATAGTAGAGATTATCATATCATATATTCGCAACGTCACGGTCTACCACAAATTACAACACCAGCATCTAACACAATAATTTCACACTGTGTCCAGCAGTCTCCAGCCACGATCCCTGTTAACACTTGGACGTCTATCACGAATGAACATTGCTTCACGTATACGCCGATTCACAAGGGACGACTGCTTGGCGAGAATTGATGCGTTGGTGATGGGTGTAGATGTGATTGCTTGTTGTGGGTGGTGTTCTGCATAGTGTTCTCCCCATGGCGTCTCCAGCGCTTGCGCTTTGGCCTCTCTGCAATGCTCCTCAAATCTCTTCCTTGCAGTTCGCTCGGTCTCGCCAACGTACTCCTCGGCGCATAGTGCACATAACATCGAGTAGATAACATCCTGAGACAAACATTCACCACTCTCCATACCAGCATCACATGCACGACATTCAACTGGTCGTCCCCTTCCTCTTCTCTTCTTACACACTTCCTTCAGGCATTCAGGACGGGACAATGATGACGATACCAACATGTCCCTTAGTGACCGACCGGACTGGAACACCACACGCACATCCTTACTGAAAGACCTCACCGTACGACGAACATCACGTGCCAAACGATCATTGACGAAGGGCAGTTTGATGATGGATGTGTACGATTGTTGTCGTTGTCTGGTGGATGATGGTCTTGGTGTGCTTGCATGGTGCTTCGCTGCTTGAATAGCGTGTTGTGGGTAGTCGTTGTCTCGTAGTAATGTCTCGATCTTCTTCTCTCCCCGCTCCCTCCCCCTGTCGGTTGACGCGTTGCTGTTTGCGTGCCGAAACTGCTCCTGGGCAACCGAACGCTTCACCCCCAATGGCATTGAAGACTCGTATGATAGATGGACACCACTATGACTGGGCTTAACGAACAACTCCCACTGCACAACAACACTCGCCACAGAGATAGACAAGTCGAGGTAGTTGACTATGTGCGAGACATTCTGCTGGGTGTGTTCCACTGTGAAGCGTGTGTCTGCTGCTCAAGTACTGCACGAACTCCATCAACTTGACAAGACCATGACACCATACTACCAGACAATCATTGATATAGCGACGATACAAGCGAGGCTTCCACGGAAACATAGCCATCGCCTCCGACTCGAGCTTCGACATGAAAATGATTGCCATTGGGGGTGCGAGGTGGTTGCCCATTGCCAGGCCTTTCCGCTGCCTGTACTGGACACCGTCAAATTGAAAGTAGTTGGACGATAACACGACTGACAGGAGCTCCCGAACATCCGACAGTGACAGGTGAAACATATCTACTTCCTTCCGATGCAACTCCAAGAACTCCATGACGACATCAATGCTCTCGACAACTGGTATGGTAGAATAAAACGAGACAACATCCAGTGAGGCAGTGATACAATCATCGGGAAGAACACCAACATCACTCAACACGTCAATACACTCCTTTGTACTGGTCAAATGTGCTGGAACGAACTTCAACAACTGATTCAGGATACGTTCCAATAACAAGGAGACATTATCCATTGACGAACCGCACGTAGACACAACTGGGCGCAGCGGAAGACCTGGCTTGTGGTCTTTGGGTAGACCGTAGAATTGGCTCAGTCGCGAGTTATGTGGGAGAATGGCTTTGGCGAGTGGTTATGGTAGCTTGTGTTGGGTGATCTCAGAGACTTTCTTGCGTGTGTGTTTGTCAAGGTCTTCTACCTTCACATCACAGCGCTCATAACTATCCCGACACTCCAACATGACATTCGCTTTCTGTACATAACTGTCACGAGACATCACTACAAATCCCAAGCTATCACATCTACACCCATCACCAACGCATCAATTCTCGCCAAGCAGTCGTCCCTTGTGAATCGGCGTATACGTGAAGCAATGTTCATTCGTGATAGACGTCCAAGTGTTAACAGGGATCGTGGCTGGAGACTGCTGGACACAGTGTGAAATTATTGTGTTAGATGCTGGTGTTGTAATTTGTGGTAGACCGTGACGTTGCGAATATATGATATGATAATATTTGATGTTTATGTGTGCTAGCTGGTTATATATAGTGCTTAGGAAATATTTGTCGTCATCTTTGTCTTCACACCCATGGACCCAGCTACATTGCATACTTTGCATTCTATTCTCCATGTCACTAACACATATTCACACGTACAGACACAGCTCTCCACTTGTCTCCTTCGCTCCTTCCCATTCTACCAACACACTTCACCATTGCTGCTGGTAACCACACTTCTCGTGCTTTCCCTTCACGTCGCACTAACACATATTCACACTTCGCTCCTTCCCTTTCTACCAACACACTTCACCATTGCTGCTACCCTCCACACATACAAACATTTCCAGCACAACCGCACCACACAGCATATATACTCGTTTCAGTTTTTGTTGGCTTTAGTTGAATGGTTTTTCACCCCGAAGATGGGCCATGCCTGAAAATTTGGTGCATTCCATTTGTATCTAATATTATTATTAGGCCAAAACAAAAAATAGGCTTGTTTCCGGTCGGCAACCCCTCAAAAAGGAGACTCGGTCGGCCGGACTGAAACTTTTTTTGGATACTTTTTTTGGTTCCTCAATCGTTGTGGTATTGATGGACAAGAGCACCTACACATGTACATTGTACATATATCATGGCAAGGGTAAATGTCAAAGTTGACTGACTCACTGTTCTTGTACAGCCATGTGGTGTATTCCTGTTTTCGTACATCCTGAGAAATCAAGCAAACAGTTCGAGTGCTTCCAGCTCCGTTATTCTAGCTCGTATCGACCCCGGAATTTTTCGAGCCGACAGCTGAGAATCTCTGCTACCTTGTAGGTGTTTCGATTGTGGAATTCGGTTGAGATTTGACTGAGTTATGACTCGTTCAGTGCACTTGCACACATGGCATTGCCACCGTTTGTATACATTTGGGACCAAAAAAAAGTATCAGAATTTGGGAAAAAGTGGCCCGGTCGGGCGACCGGAAACAAGGTCATTATTTGTTTTGGCCTTATTATTATTATTTTTGGAAGTGAAGTGAACTTAGGCAGCGAAGAGACCATAATTGGAGAGTTTGAAGTGAGGTACCCTGTAATGAACTGAACATGCTAAAAAGTGCTGTACGGATCCAAAACGATTCAAACAATGGTACCCATGTCATCCTATGTGACCGGTTTGATAATTGATTAAAATTTCATCCTTGAGCTCTCCACTCACGGCTGGTCTACCCAATACACGGTAGACAGAAAGAGGACGAGACGATGATCATGATTCTTTTCTTAAAGATGACGATTCACAGCAAAGTAGCAGCTACTCTACTCACCCGAGTGGCAGTTGCTACAATGCGCCGCTGAGTCTGGTAGTACTGTAAGGTGTTGGGGTCAAATCCAACCTCCCAGGCGAACTTGCAAACACACCTGTTGAGCGACACGTACGCACGCACACACACACACACACACACACACACACACACCAACACACACACACACACACACACACACACACACACACACACACACACGTACAAACATCCCTTAGCATGAGCACAAAGCCACCAAAGGGTGCAACTGACTGCCCATTCATCATCTAGAGCTACAAGAGCAAAGCTTCACATCACAAGATATGACTCAAGAGGTTACACAAGCAAAAAGTGCAAAGTGGCCAAACAGAGAGCTGATTCAGCAAGTGATGTACTACTGAAACAGACCCGAAGACCCAGAGTTGCACACTGGACGGGCATCCTGGGAGACTGGGAGAGAAAGCCACATCATTACAGTCATGTTCCAGTCGCCCGTGTCGTATCCCTAGATGCTACAACTCCCTATGCACACATGCACACAATACACATGCACACACACACACACACACACACACACACACACACACACACACACACACACACACACACACACACACATACACACACACACACACACACACACACACACACACACACACACACACACACACACACATGCGCACACCACACACATGCACACACGCTCACATGGTCCAGATACGTACGCTTTGCCGGCAAGCTGAGACGAGGTGAGGTCCGTGAGAAGTGCTGTGAGGCTGGCATCGTCGGCCACGCGATCCTCCACTGTATCGCCATGGTTGAATATCACATTGAGTCCCTGTTTGACCAACAGGAAGGCAGGTGAAACACCAGCCGCAGCAGCAGCAGCCGGAGCAGCAGCAGCCGGAGCACCAGCAGGAGCAGTAGCACCACCACCAAACGTACAAATTACAGGAGTGATTATACTGCATGATCCAACTTAATATCATGTACCATGGAGTCTTCAAGTACTAATAATAGGTAACCAGGATATTGGAAAGTGCATTATCCTACAGCCACTGCAGCCACTACACGTTCAAACTGCAAATATAAACTGCACATACAAACTGCACACATGTACCACCATACTTCAGTCATTACCCGCAGTT